AAATCTCCTCCTCAAACCTACAAGTCACTATACATATTTTGGCTTGTCACACCAACAACAAGAGCAATACTACTCAACGATTGCTACAACCCTCTACGATTCATTACACGTCATTGCTCCTTAGTTACTGGGCCGATATGACCACATAGCATATCTCTACAACCCTCTATGATTCATTACATGACATCACTCCTTAGTTACTGGGCTAATACTACACATGACATATCTCAATCAACTAGAGGCCTAGGAACATGAACAATAGCTCCAAAAGCTTCTACAACCCTCTATGATTCATTACACGTCATCGCTCCTTAGTTACCTACAAGATTGGTTAAGTTATGACATAATCTGTCTATAGGGGTACTCTGACCTTGGACCTCCTTTCACTTCCTATAGGCTAGGAACCTAGGAGATGGTTCTATGGGATTCTCTTACGTCGACTACAGTTACTAAGCCTGGTTAGTCATGGAAAGTCATGGAAAATGAGAGAACTACACTCCTTTAGCATAAATAGGATTGCCCTTTCCTTAAGAAAGGGCAAGCAGACAATACAGTAAATTGACTATCACATACTTCCAGGTCTTTTCCAAGCTTCCAAGCATTGATCTTGTTACTCCTTGTTTCTGAAAAGTCAGTGAGGTGCTAACCTCTGACTTATCCCTGAGTTCTCAGACTCAACATTTGTACAACTTGTCTAAACCACTCCACTACATCATACACTTCATTGCTGCGTTGTGGAATAGTCTAAGCTACAACCCTTTGGCTCTGTTTCCTAAGACAGTGTGTTGTCTTAGTAAAATCATCCATTCCTTGGGTGGCTAGGTTCTCACAATCTGGTGCACCCACCATTACAGAGGCGATGGCTCCATATATACAGGTTTCCAATGCTCAAGATGATGATGATGAGGAGCCCCAGCGTCCTGTGCTCACCACACAGAACGCTGTACAAGCCCTCCAAGTTCTGATTGAGTTCTCAGAATCTGAAAATAGTGGCATCACAGATCCAGCATCATTTTTGCCCTCTTTAGAGCATGTGGAGAGGCAATTAGTGGCCAAACAGGCCAATGACTTGGTTCAAGGCACGTTGGATGGATGGATGGTTTAGCTGAGGGGCTACTTGGGGTCTACTTCAGATCACTTTCTAACTCAATATTAACATACTTGATAAGCGAGTCGTATTTGCATGCGAGTCGTATCGCGACACACCAAATCTGCACTTTACAGGTTAATAACTAAACAATTAACTATTTAAAACCTTAAAACTACCCTAATTAGGAACCTGCTTTAAGGGGCATGTACGGGCAGTATGTGTGAGTGATCTACACATACTACATGCTCGTGGCACACGTATTTGCAGGTCTGCTAGCTCACCTGTAACCCTACCCTCAACCACTATATTTGCTGTTTGTGCCCACTTTAGGCCTTCCTGAACCGTTAAAACACCTCCCTTAGCTATATACGACCTCCTTACAGCCCTCTTCTTCTTTTGCCTCTCATTTGCAGCCCGTAGCTGCTTGTTTTTGTCCGCAAGAAGGACCGCATTATGCATAGACATTTGGCACCCTTTTACTAGCTGCTTGAATGCCTGCTCTGTAGGGTTTGAGAAGTGTCATGACACTCCTTCGATATTTGTGTCACGACCCTTCGATTCGCTTTAGTCTCTAGTACTTATTTCACTATGTCATTCACTTCACCTGCTTCGACTTACTTTGCATTCCCTTACTTCGAGTCGAACCACTTGGCCAACCTGTTAGTCTCACCACTTGACCCCTGTGGTATAAAGTATATGCTTTGGAGCCTGAACTACTATACCTTGTCCTACTGCTTCGAGTATCGAAGTCTTCACATTATACTTCGGATACTTCTGCAGACTTGAAGGTCAGCCTCGGTTCGAACTGTCCTTACAAGAAGCCTGCTATACAGCGCGGAACAGATTCCTTAATTGCATTAGCCTGACGGTCCAATTGACTAACATTATGGGGTGTTTCAGGTACCCAACAGTCCTGGGTAGTGTCCAGGAGAAGCAGAGGTGGGGTTGGTGTCTGTAATTGAGTATTCAGCATCGAGAGCACCCGTTCTGGGTCATACGGGTGTATGCCAGTGGCTGCAAAGCCACTACAGATCACATTAAGTGTCATAGAGTCTTTGCGGGCTGTAAGGTAGGCTGTAAGGAAGTCAGGTTTGTCAATATGACCAACTCCAACCCGCATATACCCCTCGATTTGTTTTCCGTACAACCGTTTTATAACTGCAAAGCAGCTAACGTCAAGTGGCTGCAAAAGATGTGACGAGTGTGGAGGCATACAGAGTGTGATAATTGAGTGCTCCTTGCAAAACAGGTCAAATTCAAGAGTAGAATGGCTTCCATGTCCGTCAAGAGTCAAGAGCCTGTAAACACCCTTTGTACGGTCTTTTGTGTACTTCTGGAAGACGTCCGTAAGCCAGGTAAGGCCTAAAGAGTCGTTCTTCCACCCATTGTTACTAACTGCAATGGCCCAATCTCGAGGCAAGGTATCCATATACCAACTTGATATATGGACCTTTCCCTCAAATATAACCATTGGTGGCACACTCCACCCACTTGCTGCAATTGACTCAATAACGGTAACCCATTCACGATTCCCTGGCTGCACACAAACTGGCTTATGGGCCCGCTCAGAACCCGTAATCACTTTTGCAGTTGTAATCACTCCCATTTGAAATCCTGTCTCGTCAAAGTTATAGATGTCATTTTCCTGAATCCCATATTTGGCAATTGTGTTCTGTAAAAGTCGAAACCAATCCCGAATAACTGTAAGGTTTTCACATTTTGCCCGTTGATAATCGTATTTGCGGGTGTATTTTGATTGGAGGAAAGGGTGGCGCTTTACAAAGTTGTAAACCCATCGTTGGCCAACTGTAAGAGGGGTAGAGTAGACTTCATCAGACCGTTTTTGGAGTAATAGATTTGCCATTTGCCGTACAGATTCAGATCTAAGGGGTAGACCTTGTTCCTCCATAGATAATATCCATTCGACAAGTGTTGACTCCTCTGTGCTGCTAAGTTTTTTGTTTGCGGGTTGTAAATCACATCGAGCAACGCGTCCGTTAACACGGTCGCGAACAGTTGTGTATGGCACGTCGTAGATTGTACAAGCCGCTTTGAGGTTGCTAAAATAGCCTTGATGGAAGGCCTGAATAGCTAAATCAATTCGGCCTTCAATCTGGCTAGCCTGAGTGTGCTGCGGTTGAGCCATTATGGTCATTAGTATCCGTAAAGTGCGGATTTGGTGTGTCGCGATACGACTCGCATGCAAATACGACTCGCTTGTCAAGTACGTTACTATAACTTGATATATTTATGCATGACCAATTACATCGACTTAACGAGATGATACTGTACGGAGGTGTTGTTCATAAGTTTTGTGAGTGGGTCATGAGATGACCGGGGGTTGGGCATGGGTTGGAGCATGGGTACGCGTAGGCTTGTTTGTACCTTTTTAACGCGTCAAAATTCCTACTATTGTATTTTATATGTAGGAAATTCATACTCTTTCAATAACTACAATGCCTCATCTTACTCGCGATGAGCGGCTTCGTTGCGCACTACTACGCTCCCTAGATTGGGAGTTCCAAAAAATTGCAGCCTATATTGGCTGCATGGAACGGCAGGCTTGGTATGCTTGCCAGGGCCCTCCAACTCCGAAGAAGCGTTCGGGTAGGCCACTTATCCTATCCGATGAGCAAGTTCAAGAGGTTATTGAGTTTATAGCCTCATCTCGCACGAATAGGCGTATGCCATATACAAATATAATACGCATTCTTAATATTCCATGCTCACGGCTTGTCCTAACCCGCGCTCTGTCTGTGAGAGGCTATAATCGACATAAGTATCCCTCTCTACTTTACTACTATATAGACTAATAATTATTAAGGGATTGCTATGCGGAAGCCTATTATCTCAGAGACAAATCGACAAAAGCGACTTTCATGGGCTATTGAACATAAGGATTGGGTACGGAATGATTGGAATAGGATACTTTGGACTGACGAGACGTGGGTAACGGGAGGCCGCCATACTCGTACATGGGTTACTCGAAAAGCAGGGGAAATGTGGGATGATACATGTGTTGTAGATAGAGTACAACGGAGAAGGTAAGAGACTCCTATTTACTATAGGATTTACTAACAATCCCTAGAGGTTGGATGTTCTGGGGCTGCTTCTCAGGTGGTCTTGGAAAGGGTCCTATACTATTTTGGGAGAAGGAATATGGGAAAATAGGAGCTGAGTCCTATATGGCTTATACTGTCCCTCTAATCCACGGCTGGCTACGCCTATACTCAGGCCTTACATTGATGCAAGATGGAGCTCCAGGTCATAGAGCAGCTGCAACATATGAAGAGTTGAGATCCCGTGGTATTTGCCCTATAGAATGGCCCCCGTATTCACCAGATCTCAACCCAATTGAACGGGTGTGGCATATTATGAAGAATTATCTACAAGATAATCATCCAGAACATATGTCCTACGACCAGCTCCGTGTAGCTGTTAAGGAAGCATGGGAGCAAGTTGGAGAAGCTGAGCTTAATGCTCTCCTTAATAGTATGCCTACACGTATGGCAGCAGTAATTGCTGCAAATGGTATGCACACAGAGTACTAGGCTTATAGTATAGTTTTATATAGGGGTTTAGGTATCTACTCTACTCATTATTCTACAGAATTGATTGCTCTCACACTCAAGTGTTCGTGACGCGTGAGAATCGGTACTTTGGCCAGAATTGCCAAACCAGCCTACGCAGGGGGCCCTAGCCCGACCCACTCACAAAACTTATGAACAACACCTTCGTAGTAGCCCTACCTGCTACAGTGTAGCAGCCACCTGCTACACTAAAGTAGCCGCTATCCTAATTAGGCAATTATGATGCCAATCCTACTAGGGTTTATATTTCCTACTATGGCTAGTTTTATGGGGCTGCTACAAAATGGAGCTGCAAATCTAAATTGCTCTAATAGAGCAATTTAAATTATTCCCGCCCTCATTGTGGCCCGAAAGCCTTCTCCGAAGATGCCACCCCACCCCTCCCACCCAAATGGCCTCTTGCGGAGCTCTAGGTGCAGGTCGGTGGCACCGAGTATCTCGACATCGACGCCCTCATCCTCGCCTTGGATGATTGGGCCGTCAAGCAGAAGTTCTGCTTCCGGGTCCTCCGGCGGGAGAAGACTGGGGCATTCTTCGTCTGCCCCAAGGAAAGCTGTGGCTGGCGCTGCCGAGCCAGCCCCCACGACGACTTGTTGGTGCTCGTCATCGTTAATGACGAGCACCGTTGTGTTGGCCGAGGCCAGCGCAAGTTCTCTTCGTCGCCGAAGAAGTCTTGGCTGGACCGTGTGGTCTCCCGTCACTTGAATGTGAAGGAGGAGAACGCCGAGCTAGCGGCGGCAGCTCGGTGGCGGCAGCGAGGGTGGACCGGAGGTTTGCCGGGGTTCGGGGGTCTACGGGTGCTGGGTAAATATTAGTTTAATTTACTGGGTATATGGTCCAGCAAGTGCTGTACGAACTTTGCTCTTACTTAATTAATAGGGCAAAAGCTCTATATACCCAGCACGACCCCTGTAAAGATTCATATACCCAGTAAATTAAAATAATATTTACCCAGCACCCGTAGACCCCCGAACCCCGGCAAACCTCCGGTCCACCCTCGCTGCCGCCACCAGCCGATCTGAGTACTGGTTATAAGCATTGATTTACCCTGTTTTTACGTAAAGTTTTCTGATGATGGTGGGTCCACCGGACTGGGATCTGCCCCGTGGATCTTATGGGTGCGATTCATACTATCGAGCTGGATCTTATTGGTGCGACTCGTATACATCAGATCTTCATTCGTCAGGGGCAGCTGGCAAGGCTCTATTTGAATAACTACAGTACCTGCCAAGTGAAGCATGCTTTGAGAGAATGAGGTCCAGCCCGATCAATGATGAGAACTCGTTGGTGTTGAAAAAATCCTCAACTACACTCACATCTGTTGGGTCGGACCGTGGGTTCACAAAGCAATTTGAAACCACACACGACACACGATTTGCACTGCCTTCTACCCTCATCCCTGGCCCTTCATTTGGGCTGATTGAAATGGAGTTCGCACAGGCGCCCTTCATCCGACGGATACGTGTTACGTCAAACAGATCTCGGTCTTTTAACTGGGTCATCATGAGCCCACTCACTAACACCACATGCAAGGGATAAGGAAGGGACCATATGCTCTCCTCGGGTATGTATCCTTGTTAAGATGCATACCCGAGGAGAGCATATTTGGAGTTTGATATGCAACCTTGTTGGGCACATATTTGGAGTTTGATATGCATCTGTTGAGCATATATTTGGAGTTTGACGTATTTGGAGTTTGACGACTTAATTAAGTAAACTACGGTGCGAAGCCATATATCGGCCTAGAGGTATATAGACTACACTATGCCTATGCAGCGTACTTCTAGAATACTTTCGTTTCTTTTCCGACGGGTGCTACTGCGATTGTTCTACACCCCTTATTATTCTTGAGGACTTTTCCAGTATTTTAGGCTTCTATTCTCGACAAGTTGTCCTGCGAGAGTCCTATTTCTCTTCTTCTTCATTTTTTTTACAACTTCTCGGAAAGCGAATGAAATGGCAGTCCCGAAAGGTCAAGCGAGGGCGCTACGGCAGGCTTTGAACGAGAAAGCTGCCAAGTCATTTGGGATTGCAATCGGATCTCTCATCGCTCTCTTTATACTCAGTCACTGGGCACGATACTTCTTCCATCGGTATAGTAACGGAAGTCGAAGCTCAGCCACGGTAGCCATGATAAGGCTTAGGAGAATCAGATCCCTCCTTTCAAGGAGGTTCTTCAAACAGATATCAGTTGGCCGTATTCTACTCTACATTTTATTCTGGGGAATCAACGTCATTCTGTCATGCACAAACGTAGACTTGACCAATCTCCTCTATGTAAGAAACATTAATCCGTTGTTTTGGGCGCTCAACTGCTTACCAAGTGAAGGTCGCAAAACACCAAGGCTGGTACTTACACCCTCCGACCTTTCTTTACCGATCTGATAGGTTAAATGTCGACTATATGGTGTTTAATACTGACTTATAAAAGGGTTGCGCTATGCAATCTAGCCTTTGTCATTTTCCTCAGTTTGAAAAACACGCCATTAGCTATTCTCTCCGCCACTTCCTACGAGACCTTGATGCCGCTCCATAAGGCGGCGGGATATACATGCATAGTCGCATCTTTGGTCCATGCCATCGTCTATCTGGAAGCTTGGGCACAAGTTGATCCTCTACATAACATGCTGGAGCCCGCCCCGATCGCAGGAATGATAGGTGGCGTTGCAATGCTTCTCATTGGTGTATTGGCTTTGCCATATATTCGCCGCCAACACTATGAGTGTATGTTAAGACACTAGACTTCTGATGGGCTCTGTCCGGCTAATTTATCATATAGTATTCTACGCTATACATGTCATACTGTCAGTCATCATTTTAATAGTCGTCGCATTGCACGTGCCAAACCTCAGCAGCCGTGCCATCATTATCACCCTTTTTGCAGCTTCTTTGTCATTCATGGATCGCGCCATCCGCGTTTTGAAATTCTCTTGCAACTTCATGGGTAACCATGCGGCGCTCACCGCGCTACCGAATGGTGCTACTCGAGTCACACTTCGCCAATCATCGAAGGCGATTCCCGGCTCGCATGCCTTCTTGTGGTTGCCTGCTATCCGTCTTGTAGAGACACACCCCTTTACACTCGTTTCCTCGGACCCTGCAGAGTTTGTCGTGTTCTCTCGCGGTGGATTCACGTCTGCATTGCACAAGTATGCGAAAGAGTTTCCTGCGAAGACTTTGAGATGCTCGCTCAACACAGGTTATGGGAAATTCCCTGACTTCAAGACTTACGACAGCATCTTATTAATTGCCGGTGGTAGCGGTGCAAGCTTTACCTTTGCAGTAGCTTTGGACCTTTGCAGGAACCCAGGCCCCTGTCCATCTGGTAGTATTACTTTTGTCTGGGTTATTAGAGATAAAGGTAACACTGTCAAATAAGACTATATCCTACAGACATCAACTAACAATGCCTAGCTTCTATCTCGTGGTTCCATGCGGAACTTCGTGAACTCCACCTCGACCCACGTATCAAAGTTATGATACACGTAACTAACAACGTCGAGTCTTCTGCACTGGTCTCCTTATCGGGATATTCTGAGAAGGACAGTCCTGCAACCGCAGAAGAGTCTAGTCAGACTTCGCTCCCAACTATGGCATCTGGTGACTCAGAAAAAGCCATTGAGCTTGAGCAAATGGCAGCGTCGAAAAAGCCTGTCGATCCGGAGAAAGGCATGGGTTATGATGTAGGAGAGGCATCCAGCAGCACCGTTGCAACCTTCACAGGGCGCCCAAATATTCCTGCACTGATGAGAAGTCTCGTCGACAATGAAGATACCACGAAGAGAGTTATTGTTGGCGCTTGTGGGCCTGCGGGGTTGCTGGAGACGGTGAAGGACACCACATCGCGATGCATACGGCCCTATGGCCCATCTTTCACTTTGCATACCGAGGTAGGCTGACTGTTTTTCTCCCTTTGTTTTTCGATCCGCTAACATGGGAATAGGGGTTTGAATGGTAGACGCACATATATGTACATGTCCTTTTATGAGTTTTGATTGATGAATAACGGAGGAAGGAGGTGAGCATATATAGTTTAGAAGGGCGGTTCAAGGTATGAGGGAGGACACAAGTGGCAAATATGGTGATGCTACCCTTTGTATGGGATCTTTTGCATGGGAACTGTTTTGTTTTTATTACAATCACGACAGCATTTGAACATTACTATTTACGACGAATATTTATAAAGACAAGAAATATCATATATCATGTGTTTACGCCTGAATGGGATTGATATCATTTCATGTTAAGTAACGTTGTGTCTTCTTCTGTCCAAGTATGTAGCTGCCTGATATTTAAGTGTTGGAGGAAGGACCGAAATATTGCGAGCGCGCGCAACGGGCAGGAAAACTCGACAGTAGACTACAGTATATAGAATGAATGGATTGAATTCGGAGGGCCTACCCAAACGCCCTGAGTAACAGAAGGGTTTAGGCCTGAAACCCAATGCGTCGGAGTTCTGAGGCAATCTGCTCACGCCAAGCGCCAATTGGGGCAAGGCTCCCGCCTGACGATTGCACTGGGAAAAGCTACCATTAGAGCGTTTTAGCAACTGTTGAACAGGCTGTTCAACACCCCCGTATGTAGTTAGTATAGAAATATGAGAATTTAGTGCCATAATCCCTGTACAAACCTTGCAAGCCCGAGCTCCACTACTTCCTATTTAGGACTTAGGACTGTAGAGGTTTAACACTAGATGGCTTTAGCAGCCAGGCCGAACAGTTGTTGGCCAATGTCATACTGACATTCGTTGCACTCAGTTTGCTATCAAACTCAAGAGCAAACTTAGAAATCTCCTCCTCAAACCTACAAGTCACCATACATATCTTGGCTTATCACACCAACAACAGAAGCAATACTACTCAACGATTGCTGCAAACTCTTCTACTACATCTGTTTATGCTACATACATCACGGCATATCATTTGAACACTCATTGAACAAGTTATTAAGAAAATCTCCTCCTTAAGGGGGTGGGCCAATACTACCACATGGCATATATCTACCAACTAGAGGCCTAGGAACATGAACGATAGCTCTAGAAGCTTCTACAACCCTCTATGATTCATTACACGTCATCGCTCCTTAGTTACCCACAAGATTGGTTAAGTTATGACATAATTTATCTATAGGTACTCTGACCTTGGACCTCCTTTTCACTTCCTATAGGCTAGGAACCCAAGAGATGGTTCTATGGGATTCTCTTACGTTCACTACATGATTAGCAAGCTAGTTGTGGGTCGCACTTGATTTCTAATACATTTACCAAGCCTGGTTAGTCATGGAAAGTCATGGAAAATGAGAGAACTACACTCCTTTGGCATAAATAGGATTGCCCTTTCCTTAAGAAAGGGCAAGCAGGCAATACAGTAAATCGACTAGCACATACTTCTACGTCTTTTCCAAGCTTCCAAGCATTGATCTTGTTATTCTCTGTTTTTGAAAAGTCAGTGAGGTGCTAACCTCTGACTTACCCCTGAGTTCTCAGACTCAACATTTGTTGCAACTTGTCTAAACCACTTCACCACATCATACACCTGATTGCTGCGTTGTGGAATAGTCTAAGCTACAACCCTTTGGCTCTGTTTCCTAAGACAGTGTGTTGTTTTAGTAAAATCATCCCTCCCTTGGGTGGCTAGATTCTCACATCTGGTGCACCCACCATTACAGCCAAGGCCTGAAGAAGAAGGTGCCAAGCCACTATAGAGGTGTAGTATATAGCCTAGGCTCAGTTGATTGTAGCACTCATAGACCCTAGTTAATAGAAGTAGCTATGCCTAATATAGTAATATCAAAATTCGCATTACCCCCTAAGTCAATTTTTGGACCTGCTTGAATCGTTCCCATTTTACAATGCTGGACTTGGCCATTTTGGCGAGAAATGGGAGAGCTGCGGAAACCGGAGTTTAGCTATGACCTAACAAGGAAAATTACTAGTAAATTGTATGTAATTCTCCCCTTCTGGCCATACCCCCTACGGCGTTCCCTTTGTAATCCCCTATGTGACTAGAGCCCTTTGTTCCCTCTGTAGAATACTGGCCTTTGATAAATTTTTATACTTCAGTAAGTGCTTTGGAACTGGGCGAGTGGGGAGAGAGGTGGTGGCGGCTGGAAAAGATACATCACGGTACTTCTATTGCCATACACATATATATGCAAGTGGAAGTACCTATATGTACCCTTTTGCGACCGCCACCACCTTTGTGCCCATTTCTCACCAAAATGATTTTTTCCTGCTTAACGTGCATGTATAACGAAAGTGCCAAACAAGCGAAAGTGCCAAAATATCGCGACTACCCCATAAGAATTGCGATAAATCCACCACAACAATATAAATTATTCAGAGTCCTCTTCCTCAGACCTGTCTATTACAATCTGACAAGTGCGCGCATTGTGTCCAGTCTCACCACACTTGCCACAGCGACGTGCATGGGTTTCTTCCCTTGGCTTCCGACCACTACTTGCCCTTATTTCTTGCTCTACTTGCTGCACAACGTCCCTCTCGTCCTGTACCTCCTGTGCTACCTGTTGACTAAGTGATCCTCCTTGCTGTAGTTGTGTTTTTTTAGCTCTCCGGCGCTTGCTTAGCACTTCATTTGCCTGTCGCAGGTTTTGGTTCTCTGCTTTTAACAATGCTAATTGATGCATTATTTGCGATGCACCCTTTGTAAACTGGTCAACAGCTGCATAGATTGAGGTTGGAGAGCTATTTTGATGATGCGCAATCCGGTTTTTAATGAAAGTAGACTGTGATACAGCTTCAGTTGGGTTATTTGGTGTCTGAGAAACCCATGGTTGAGCGGTGTTTGGGCGAGAGGTTGGAGGTGTTGGCGTCTTAAACCTAAGGTCAAGTGTAGATATTACACTCTCAGGGCTAAATGGAAGAAGCCCAGCACCTCGGAACCCTCCCTGAATATTGCTTTCTGTCATTGCAATGTTAAATGCAGCGTGGAAGGCAGGAAAGAAGTCATCCTTAGTAATGTGAATAATATGAGCCCGCATCATATCTTCAATTTGCCGACCATAAGCTCTCTTTAATGGGCCAAAACAGCCAACATCAAGTGGTTGGAGTATATGGGAAGAGTGAGCAGGCATACAAAGCGTAATAATGTTGTGTTCTTTGCAGTACTCCTCAAACTTGTCTGAGTGGTGGCTCTCATGACCATCAAGGACTAACAAGCGATAACCACCAACACTCCAGGGCTTTGTGTGCTTCTCAAAATGCTGAATCCAATCCATACCTCTCTCGTTTGTAGTCCAGCCATTTGCAGTAACAGCGATTACCCAATCTGCTGGAAATCTGCTATTCTCATACCAAGATGCAAGGTGGTTTTTACCTGTCACAATGACAAATGGCGGCACTGCCCAACCTTGAGAACTAACGCCTTGGATTACTGTAACCCATTCCCGATTGCCAGGCTGCACCTTTTTTGCCTTTGCCCGCCCATCTGAGCTCGTTACTACCGTTGCGCTTGAGATGACGCCCATCATAAACCCAGTCTCATCAAAGTTGTAGATATCTGCATTGTTGATGCCATACTTTAGAATTGTGTTCCATACAAGCTCAAACCAGCCACGAATGACTTCTGGATCTTCGCACTTAGCCCTCTGGTAGTCGTATTTTCGCTGGAAGCGTGTCCGGAGCTCTACATGGCGCTTAACAAAGTTTGAAGCCCAACGTGACCCGACGCGTGGCGCGTCACGTGTTGCAAGTAGTCAATTTGCCATATCTTCAACAATAGACAACTGAGGAGGGAACCCTTTAGCAGCTAAGTCAAGTATATACTGAACAAGAACTGATTCCTCTAGGTTACTTAATTTCCGTAAGTTGGCTTGGATATCGCATCGTGAAGGTACGCCTTGTAAACAGTGACGTAGCTTGCGGTGGTCTACTGAATAGATCCTAGCTGCAACTCGAAGGCGCAAATTTGGGTCGCTTTGCATAGCTTGGATAGCTAGCACTAATTTGCTTTCATCATTTTTATGGCGCATGTTTTGTTGTGGAGGAATTTAACATTTAGTTGGGGGGGTTGGTCACCGCATGATTTTGGCACTTTCGCTTGTTTGGCACTTTCGTTATACATGCACGTTATAGGATATATATGTATTACTTGACTCTATCCAACCCTCTACCCTGTTATATTCGCTACTATCCGTACTTGCAATTGGAACGCTTCATCGGATAGGCCCATGTAACGCCTGCTGAAGAAGAGATATCATTGTAGTCTGGCCTTGCTTCAATTCAGCTTGGCCTTCCTGTAGTCTATAGAGTGAACACTCTCAGCGCGGTTCTCACTTTGCCTTTCTTCTGCAGAATCATCTAGTATATCCTCGTCGTCAGGATCATCAAAGCCAGAGCACCCTCGTGCTCTCTGGCCAATGGATCTATTACGATTTTGAGGATAAGTCTGCTGGTGCCTCCACTTTGTAGCAAGAGCAACAGATAACAAGTCTCGAGTATTAAGCGCTCGCTGCAACGAAGTGATAACAGTATTTGATGCCTCACTTCGCTGTGTTTCAATCCGCTTTTCCTCAGTAACAACCCCAATCCAGTTATCAGTTTGGACAGTCAATTCCGACTCGCTATCGGTTGTCCAGTCCCAAGCCCATCGAGGTATTTTCTTCTCTTGTCGATTTCCCGCTGTACTACTTGGTAGAGACTCTTGTGGTCTTTACCAGTCTGCCTTTCGAAATCAGCCTGTATATAAGACCAGAATGCAGTCTTCTTCCCTGGTCGAAATGCTTCAGCGTTTTGATTGCAAAGTCAGAGGAGGACCAGTACTTCGTCCTTAGTTACGGGCGTCATCTTTGCTTGAGAGCCTTGAGGTTCGCAACTCTCTATGCACTGCCGGCTTGAGACTTGTGATCCTCTAGGCCTTTCGGTATTGAATTGCGCCTCAACTGTAGGCTGAACAGGTAAAGGAGGACTACCCATATCATCGTCTTCGAAGACAGAGCGCTGCCGATGATGGAAGTAAAGTTCGAGGCTGGTATGCCCGGAATTCAATAGGTTTGGTATGCGATGCCATAGTTATCACTTGTATTGAATATAATACAATCATACATATGACTCTATTACTAACTCTACAGCTACATGACGTCCCCTGAAGGTGATTACTAATAAATACTCTAACTACAACAGGATTATGACTCGCTGCAAGTCTTCAACAGTAGATGGCTTTAGCAGCCAGGCCGTGTGACCGGTGCGACCGGAGTTCTTCAGCTATTTCCTTCAACAACCGATGCCCTGGAGAATAGCCGCTGATTGTTAGGTTTTTAATCCACTTTAGAAGTATCTGTTCTTGCGCGCCTGATAAATTCTGCTGTTTCTGGCGGGCTTGGGAGCATGTCAAACCTCCATTGACGCGTCGCGTCACTGAACTCTTCGGCAGCCCCAGCACTTTCTCAGCGTGATATGCACTCTTATACTTCTTAGATTGGACGTCTAATACTGCCTGGGCTATTAAAGTTTCACGCTCAGCAACACCCAGGCTTTTACAGCGAACCATTGTTGAGTTATTCACAGTTATCAGAAGTCGGCGGGGTGAATTCCCCGCGTTACGCCATCCCCCGCGTTACGCCACGACTTACGTTATATAAGCTGTAATACAGCCCTTGAGAAACTGCGTATGTACCCGCAGCCTACGCAGCCTACAGAGCCTACAACGCCTACCCTACCACGGCCTATTACCCCTATTCCCTCCACTTTCCAGGGCGTAGAACAGGGCCTACAGCAGTGGAAGGAGCGGGTTCCGGAGGCCTTTAGTAGCCCCTCAAGGCAGAGCTACAGCAACTGGCTTACTGGGGCAGCCCAGGTTCTGGCTGCTGGCCAGCTCCAGGAACTCGACCTACGGGCTGTTCGGCAGCAGGTCAAGAACTCGAAGAAGCAGCGGTGGGGCCGGGACCAACTCCAGTGTGGAGGTGAGCTCCGGGCTTCTGAAGCCCACGAGCTTCAGGCCCAGAAGCTCGCTGCCGCAGAAGCTCGGAAACTGAGCCAGGCCCAAACCCGAGCCCAGAAGCAGCTCCGCCGGGCAGGAATCGAAGCCCGGAAACGGGAGCGCCTCCGGAAGAAGAGCATAGCTCAGCTCACTAAATCGGGCCTCCCAATTCCTCCGGAGTTGGAAGACCCTATTACTGACCCAGAAGCCAAATCTGAGAGCCAGTATGAGAGCGCAACTGAGGGTGGGAGTGGTCGTGGGAGTGAGAGTGAGCGTGAGAATGAAGAATTGATAATTTCGTAGAATTGAAATTTTAAGTACTTTTACATATAAATTACTATGGTTGGGTACTTACGGTCGCAATTTGAGAGGACGCACTTGCTTCCTCTCATAAGCGAGTGGACGCACTCGCTTCCCCCCACGGCGGTTACGTTATATCAATTTCTATTTTATATGCGAGTACTACTAATATGATACAGGGTCTTTGATATCCTCGCACCGATGCAGGGGGAGCGGTCTCGGTGATGCCGGTGGTGCCGGTGGTGCCGGTGCCAAGCACCGATTCTCATTCCAACATCACAGTTAGGTTTCAGGCTGCGGCACCAAAGGGCCGCTGGTAACGTGACCTCAACTCTAAACCCCGCCTAAGGCGCTTAGCCACCACCTGAATTAATTTAGTGCAAGGTACAAACCCTTTGTACTTTTTGTGCCTCGGCATATCCATCATTTTGTGGGGGATCTGGAAGAAAGAGACGCAGCTGACACAGCCGAGTGGATCTTCGACAAGGGGGGATTTCTTCAATAACCATTGTGATCCTGTACATTTAAGACGACATATATTTGTGGATTTCTTCGTTTTTGCACTGCTGTGGTTCCTAGGCTTTACATCCCTACAATCAGACAAGAGTCGCATCGTCCCGAGCGACGAACAGACAAGACATCATGCCTTTCGATACCAAGCTCACTCGTGCCCTGGGCATTAGAGGTATGTTCCCCTCATCTGTGATCTCCTCTTTTCAATCCCCTCTTAACAACCTCTCTCTAGTCCCCGTTGTCCAAGGTGGCATGCAATGGGTCGGTTACGCTGAGATGGCCGCCGCCGTCTCCAACGCCGGCGGTCTCGGCCTCCTCACAGCCCTCACGCAACCCACCCCCGAAGACCTGCGCAAGGAGATCCGCCGCTGCAAAACCATGACCAAATACCCCTTCGGCGTGAATATCACCCTCCTCCCCGCCATGGTTCCCCCGGACTACGGCGCGTACGCCCAGGTCGTCATCGAAGAGGGCATCAGGATCGTCGAGACCGCCGGCAACAGCCCCGGCCCCGTCATCAAGCAGCTCAAGGCCGTCGGCACCATCATCCTGCACAAGTGCACCACCATCCGCCACGCCGAGAGCGCCGTCAAGCTCGGCGTCGACTTCCTCTCCATCGACGGCTTCGAGTGCGCCGGCCACGTCGGCGAGAGCGATCTCACGAACTTCATCCTCCTGAGCCGCGCGCGCCAGACCCTCACGGTCCCGTTCATCGCCTCTGGTGGGTTCGCTGACGGCCACGGCTTGGCTGCGGCGCTCAGCTTGGGCGCTGAGGGTATTAACATGGGTACCCGCTTCATGAGCACCGTCGAGGCTCCCATCCACAACAACGTCAAGGAGCAGATCTGCAAGGCGTCCGAGCACGACACCCAGCTTGTGCTGCGCAGATGGAAGAACACCAGCAGACTGTACAAGAACAAGGCGGCTGTTGAGGCGTTCAAGATCGAGTCGACCAGCACGACGGGCAAGTTCGAGGAGGTCGCGCCGTGGGTGTCGGGTAAGAGGGGAAGACAGGTGTTTATCAACGGTGATGTTGATTTCGGAGTAAGTCTCGCCAGTCTGCTCGCATTCCGGATCCTCCTGTCCTTACGGATGGGATTAAACCAGCTTTTGAAGACTGGGTTGTGAAGAAGAGTGCATGTGCTGACTACGGTGCTTTAGGTGTGGACTGCCGGACAGGTCATTGGTCTTATTCACGATATCCCTACGTGCGAGGTTCTGTTGAGGAGGATTGAGAAGGAGGCCGAGGAGACGATCAACAGGGCATCGTCGCTGATTGTTGCCAGCCCCAAGTTGTAGAGGGTTTGTCTGTAGCGATGGGTGTTGTATGATGGATATGATATATTTACAGCCGATATAGAAGAGCTGTACAGCCTATTTCTTGTGTATTGTTCATTGTGAAGTTCTCGTGGCCTCTGAGGTGAGGCCGAGAAACCTACTCCTGCATAGCAAACAGAGTATTGATCCTCTATATAGACTACAGTCCACTCTCGCCAAGACGATGTCGGATTAGTCAAGAACATCGCTAAGTCGATATTTTTTTCAGCACCAAATTGATTTTCGCACTCAATTCTCGATATTCGCGATATTGACCTTCTGACCTTTAATTATCGACTTATCCAACTCTATTATGCCTCGAAAACACACGATTACACTCGAACAGCGCCGTGCCCTTCGACATTAGGCACACAAACAGCACCCGAAACCCTCCTAGAAAGCCTGCATCAACTGGTTTCTTCACGAATTCAATCATAGGCTCAGTCAATCGACAATATCAGATAGCCTTAGTAACCGCTTTAAACATCTCGACAACTCGACAACAACTAGACAACGAAATCGAACTGGCCAATGGCCTCAACTTGAACAAATTCTCTACGACTTTTAGCGACGAATTGATAGCCGCGGTGGCTTTGTGTCAGGATGCTCTCCAAGCCAATCACCTCAGGGCATTAGAGCGTTTAGAGGGCGAAATTGAGGCAATTCAGCTTAATTCCTTGGTTTAGGAGACATTAGATAGGTGGATTACATAATACTTGGCATTTCAATATAACGATATTTTCACTTTAACGATATTTACACGTGTCACCAATTGTATCGACTTAAGATATTTACACGTGTCACCAATTGTATCGACTTAACGGGAGTTGACTGTATGGGCTTTTCGAACGTTCAGACCTGACCCCTTATCTAGTTGCTGTAACTGCCACCCACCAACCACGTTCTGTCATAGTCCCAGCCACCAGACAGACGTGTAAAGTGCAAACCGCGTTTTGATACCGCGTTCTGAATAATCCTCCTCCAAAGTCGCGCCCTCACCGCCGCCTCATCGCGATCATCGCGCCCTCATCGGTGTTTCAAGTCATCCCTCGCCCATCGCGACTGATTGGCCCAGCCCTGCCCACCCGTTGCCAAAACTGGCCGCATCGCCAACGACCGTTCGCAGCCAGGAAAATACAGGCAATTGGGTGTCCCAGCCCCGCGAATTTGTTAGTTGGGCACTGTGAGTAGACGACTGGCCAGGCATCGTCGTCGTGGGGAGAATTGTGAGGTGTCGCAAAGGTATGGGCTTGGGGTAGAAGAATTGTAAAAGGGAGTGGCTGGGCTTTTGTGATACTCGAGTACAGGTACAGTTCTGCATGCTCCGTACAGTTGTGCCTCTTATCTACAACCTCACTTTCAACCCTTCAGTTCACTTACTACTTCTGTCTTTCTTCTTTCTACCTCTTATCTACCTTCTTCAATCTATTTGCTGTGGGCGAAATTATATTCATTCTGTCGCTCTCTATTTTCAAGGAACTTCACAACTCTCGCAGAGAGCTTGTTGTGTTACTACGACAACCTCCCCGACAACCTCCCCGAGTCACCTCGCCCACCATCGCAGTGACTGAGAAACACCAGGGCGCAGAACTCCTCTGCGATGCTCTTTACGATAAACAACGACATCAAATTCTCCCTCATCGCAATCGATATTCCTCCCAGCACCGTCATCTGCCTCTCCGCCGTCCTCGCCGGCTACTACTACCTCCTCCACATCCGCGCCCACCCCGGCCCCCTCCCACAAATCCCCCCCGTCGACCACGACGACCATGACCACCATCTCCGAGCTCGGCGACCTCTTCGACGACCATCCCTCGTTGGACGCCTCTCTGGCCGACTTCGAACCCGGAAGCAGCGAGCCTGCTCACAGCCCGCGCTTCCCGCCCCTCCCAATCACCCGCAACAACAACTACAACCACCTCTTCCCTTCGCAGCATTCTGGTTTCCGCGAGCCCTCAGACTCGGAGGACGATCCGATCCGCCCGGACTCGTCGGGGGGTTACAGCCCGCCCGCGTGGCGCCGCAACGGGGGCGCAAGAAGCTCAGGCTTTTGGAATAGACGCGATAATATCCTTAATCGCGCCGGCGGCGTGAGTAGGGAGGTTACGCCTGAGACGTGGGAGAGCGCTGAGGAGGGAGATGCGACGCTCGCGGCTGCGGCGCGGGTGCGTCTGCCCACTGGGAGCATTAGTCCTGAGAAGAGGCGGAGTCCGAGTCCAGATCCGTTTATGAGTGGGGGGGATTTTGGGGGCTCGTTCGGTGGCGTGAAGAAAGAGGAGGGTAGTAAGGTGGTTCCGCTGGTGACTATACCCGAGAATCCTAATAATTGTAAGTTTATCATTGCCTGCACGGAAGTGCTGGTCGAGGTCCCGTTGTCTGAGTTGGTCTAACTGTTTTAGATATCCGATTTGCCGTGCGCGCAGAGGTACAGCACCGGACGGAGCCGTTTGAGAACGTGCTGGCGGTAGCGACACGTAAATTCGACAGCGTGACCAAATCCTGGACCTCACTCATCACCACCATCCTCGTGGCATTCCTCTCCCTGCTTGCCGTGAAATCGATATTCACCCCCGCCGCTCCCCTCCCCGTCCCCGACCTCGTCAAAGTCGCCAGTCTCGCCAAGGCCTTCGAGCCCCTAATCTTCTACTCAGAGCATGGCATCCAGCAAATCGCCGACCTGCAGGCCACCAGCGTCGCTGTATGGGACCTCGGCGAGTCCGTTCGCTCTGCCAACATGACCTCCGCGCCCATCATCGTCCGCGAGCTCGACGGCCTGAGCGACTCCCTCAAAACTCTCGCCATCGAACTCACCCGCTTCTTCGCTAATGTAGATGGCGACGTTGATGGCATCCTCATAGTCATGGACTGGGCCAAGCGCGAACTCGCCGCCCTCCCTGCCGCCCCACCATCCCCCCTCTCCGCGCTCGCTACAAACACACACGCCCTTCTCTCTCGACTCCACGTCCTTGAGTCATCCCCAGGTAACCCGACAGCTCTGGGCCATGCGGCGCTCGCGCTCTTCGGCCCGACGCCGCCCCAACGCACGGCAGCGGCGCTGGGGCGTGCGTTCCGTGAGTTCGTGGGCGTGCTGGAGGAAGCGATCCAGGCGGAGCTTGAGCACGCCGCAGCGCTATTCGCACTCTTCGAGGCTGTGGATCGGCGATTCCTCAATGTTGCGCGCGCGGTGGCGCGAGAGAGCGATGAGCAGGAGCGTGGGGAGAGCGAGATGCTAGCGAGTTTATGGACGAGAGTCTTAGGGGGCAATGCAGCGGGGTTGCGCAAGTTTGAGATGAATAGGCGATTACTGGGGAGTGTGAGGGAGAGGACGGTCCGGAATAAGAGGGTGCTTGTGGATCATAATGGGAAGCTATTAGCACTGAGGGCGAATCTGGAGATGTTGAGGATGAGGCTTGTTAGTCCGCTTGTGAGGGCGGGAGAGGGGAGTAGGATTGGGGTGGAGGAGCAGATTAGGGGGTTGGAGGGGACGTATGAGTATTTGAGGGGGGTGAGGGAGAAGCAGAAGGGGCGGTTGATGGAGGTGCTTTATGGGTCTGGTAAGGGGAGGTCGAGGATTGTGGCGGATGAGGAGGGGAGGGAGATTGAGGGGGGTGGGAGAGGAGGTAGGTTTGGTGGGTGCCGTTGGATTTGGGTTTGTTGATGGCGCTTTAATAGGATAAGGGGGGGGAGTGGCATGGAGCTTTGTTTATGTTTATGGAGTACGGCGGATGGCAGAGTGTGGGGGTATATTATGGCTGTACATGTGATGAAGTGCTGGCGGAGTACATAGAAGGAAGCTGTATTGGCTACTGGGGATAGATGATACTTGAATCCAAACTCAACATGAATATCCCAACCATGACCCATGACTGAAGATCTCCCTCCCAACAACAACGATCTTTGTGCATGCGAGCTAAACGTACCACGCGTTAGGTTCTGACTTTAGTACTATCAATCAACTAGCTGCTACCGAAGCCTCTAGGAGGGAAGACGCGATGAAGGAAGGCACGATGAAGGAAGGCACGATGAGAAAAGTGTCAAAGACGGAAGGAGCGAAGGGCGAAAGGGCAAACAATACCAATTATGAAGATTCGTCTGCCGCAGCAACATCTTCCCCCTACATATCGGGGTCCGCATCAACCCTGGCTTCAGCGGCTGGTGTGACTATCGTCTTGCGATGTGAGCGTCGTCGGGGCGGGCCCGGGCGTCATTTTAGTCAGGACTGAAGCTGGCATGGCTTTCAACACTTGTCATGTGGGAGTCATCAGGGTTCACTCCAACATCCTCCCTTGTGGCGTGGGAGTCGTCAGGGATCACTCCAGTCTGGAACTTCCTTGTGCATGGGTATTATCAGGTTGGGCCTCGACGCCGGCGCCCTCCAAACCAGCTGGAGCAGCTAGAGAAACGCCAGCAAAGAGGAGTAAGGAACGGGAGTGAACTTCATAATGGATTTCGGGTATGTGATACTGGGTGACTTGAGTGGGAGCATACGGGTTGAGAGTGAGCCAGGCATATTTATATAGCTTCTCAGCGGTGATTTTTTTTAAGACCGGCCGATATGATGACCCGAGTAAATCCGAGTTGGAGATTTGTGGATTTCTCGGCGCTGACTTAATATTCTGCCATGTCAAGCCTGCTCCGCCTCGGTTGGGCAGACCAATGCCGCTGTCAGCATCGGGGAGGACACTCCGATTCCATCTTGGCCATTCCGTTGAACGTCCTGTTAGCCTCACCGAGTGGCTATCTGCCTAGGAGCCCCATGATTGGAGGCTGGAGGCTGAGTGCTACTCAGACAACGACGCGGCCTCAGCCATGTTTACATTGGCATAATTCACCGACTTTACTATTTTTGAGACATCGCCGGGGATATCTTTTCCCTTCCAAGACGCTTTATGCGAGTACGTTGAGCTCTGAATCCACGCTAGTCGTAACGAAATATGAATATTTTGGAAGTCCCAGGGTAAATATGTAGGTCGTTCATCTCTCTTTACCTATTCTTGTCGTCATTGAATTCTTAACCATGGCACCCAAAAGACCCGCGATGTTGGTATACTTTCTCCAGTTGCTTGCTTTATCATCCTCTCACCCCAATCCAAAGGTCTACAAAGCGCAGCCTGGGACAAAATTCTGGCCGTCGGAGGCAAAATGGGAGAGCCTTGATAAGTCTCTTTCGGGGCAGCTCATTAAAACCATCCCACCCGGTGCGGTCTGCCACCCGTCGAAGCCTTCGTATGACGCCGCCGCTTGCCCGGCCGTGCAGGAAGGATGGAAACCCGCGAAGTGGTAGACTGAGAATCCCGTTTCGGTCATATTGGATAGCTCTGCGAATGACACTTGTCTTCCGGATCCGAAGTACCCTTGTAGCGGAGAGGGATATCCGATTTACGTGGTTAATGCTAGGACGGCGGAAGGGAGTCAATTTTGCAAGGCAAAACAATGTCAGATTGGTTGTCAAAGGGACGGGTCATGATTATATGGGGAGGTAAGTTGTATGATACCTGCTTGAAGTTGACGCATGGCTTACTTGAGAAGGTCTGCTGCACCTAACTCTCTTTCAATCTAGACCCACAACATCAAAGGCCTGGAGTTTTTCGACGTCAACAAATTCACACCGAAGCGCTGCAAGATTCCTATCCACAAGCATGTTATTACTGTAGGGGCTGGGACGCAAATGCTAGAAATTGACAAGAAAGTTTCTCTCCGAAACCTTACCGTTGTAGGCGGTGGCTCTGGATCAGTTGGAATGGGGGGATACCTCACACGGGGTGGCCATAGTGCTATTAGTCTCACGTTTGGACTTGCTGCCGATCAAGTTGTGGAGATGGAAGTTGTAACTGCAAGCGGAAATATAGTAACTGCGAATGCATGCCAGAATGTGGATCTGTTCTGGGCTATGCGCGGAGTAAGTTCCTCCATTCGATTCGACAATGAAGGATCTCTACTAAATAATCACAGGGTGGTGGCTCAACATTCGGCGTCATGATCTTAGCAACAGTCAAAGCTTACCCCTCCTTCAAGTTTACTACCGTCTCGGTCATGTTCGGCGCCCCAGCCTCCTCTAGCGATGCCTACTACGACGCTCTTACCACCGTCTTCGAGGAATAACCAGGCCTCGGTGACTTTGGTATCTCAGCCTACTACTTTGGAGCAGCGAACGTGAGCGCTGCCGATTACGGCGTTCCAGTTCCAGGAATGATCAACGGCTTCATTGGCAGCTTTTTGCTACCGCTAATAGACGCTTCCAACACAAGCGACAGCCTTCTAACGGCTGTCAACGCAATATTAGCCAAGGCCATCAAGGGTTCTGAAGACAAATTCCTGACTTCGGTGAAGGAGACTACGTTTGATGATTTCTGGTCCTGGTATAAAGATCGTAACGGGCCGTTGAACGCGGGTTTCGATGGTATCCTTGGCTCGCTGTTGCTGGATCGGAAGTCGTTGACGGGAAACCGAACTGCGCTCAAGGAAGCGCTAATTGTGGCTCCTGGAAAGGGGACCTTGTATGTGCACACTGGTTCGTATTCACCCGCATGAAAAAGCACGCGGTAACTGACAATATCTACAGTTGTGTCATTGTGGGATCCCTTGGATGCTGGGGAGGGAGAAGCAGCTGGATCTGAACACCAATGTGTACACCGAGTCGTTGAGAAAGATTGGCCCTGACACAGGGGCGTACATTAATGAGGTAGGTGCCCTCTGCGGGACATGCTGTTTTGTTACGAGCTAATTTTTATGGGCTGATGTGTATGAACTGAACCCCCAGAGGACGTTCTGGGGCGCCAATTATTCACGACTCTGGTTGATCAAGAAGATGCTTGACCCGCTAGATGTCTTTTGGTGCTCGCCATGCGTGGGGAATGAGGGATGGGAGGTGATTGATGATGCTCTTTGTAGAAAGTGATAGCTTGGATGGAATGGAATTAGAGTTGAGGAGAAGGGGCTGGGAATGAGTTGAAATGTAAACTGATAACGTATTTCACAGGCAAGCTGGTCACCCGAGCAAGCTGGTGACCAAAACACCAAAACGCATGAACTTGACAAAAGTCAACATGCCACAACCAACACAAGCCCAATCCTCTAATCAAAAGGGTAGAATTATTCTCGCTATTAAAGCACTCAAAGAAGGCAATATTAAGAGTATTCGAGCTGCCGCAATGTCGTACGATGTCCCATTTGAGTCGCTACGTACGCGACTTATCAGTGTTACTTCTCGACGTGGCTCTACTCCTAACTAACGTAAGTCGTGGCGTAACGCGGGGGATGGCGTAACGCGGTGGAATTTTGAAGAGAACACAACAAATCTGTAAATTTAACTACAATCAACGATAATACATGATCCACCGTCACTCTTAGATTGTTCCCCTGCTTCTTCCTCAATATACTCGTCAATTTCAATGTCTGAGGAGGCGTTCTTATCCTTTGTTTTGCGCTTTTTCTTACTTGGGTTATGTGTCGCCTTTTCCGCCTCCATCACCGCATCACACAACTCTTGCGTAGAAACATGAAAGTGACCCTTCAAAATAACCCTTTTCCCCTTCGTACGTACCGTACGTTGCTTTATAACTGATCGCAGGTTGTTGGCATCGAGTTGGTGGACAATGCTGCGTGCTCCAAGTTGCTCTGACGCAACTGTGAGTTTTTGGATGTACGTCCGCACTGGTGTTGACAGCACCCCACCACTTCATAGTTGTAAGGAGCGGATTTGCAGAGCATAAGGTCATTCCATCTGGGGGGGAGCTGTTGATAAAGACTCGGTCAAAAATATCATACTGATGTGGTGTTTTTGGTCGGTCAGCCTCGACTGATGGTTCAGCATTGAGCAGCGTACGCAATGCTCGCTGGGGATTAAAAGGAAACAAGCCAGCGCCACGGTATGCTGACTCAATGTTCTGATGGTTGCATACATCAAGCCGTGCCTGGATGTATGCCTCCATCCATTCATACTTCTGTATGCGCGCAAGTTGCGCTTGGTTGAGTGGGGAGAGCGCTGCTGTCAGACGCTTTTTTAGCGGGCCGAATATCGCAACATCCAGTGGTTGTAGTAAGTGCAATGTATGAGGGGGAAGTATCAGTAACACAATATGGTTCTGCATGCAATGCGCAATGAAACTCCCGCTAATGTGTTAGTCGTGGCCATCACATATAAGAAGCCGGTGCTGACCATCTGCTTTTGTACGTGTTGTTGGCTCGAAGATGCGTTTTAACCACTCCAACCCATGGAGGTTGCTTGTCCAGCCTTTCGTATTCACAGAGAAGAACCACTGGAGATCCCGAGGGGTGGGAGGATGGTTCCGTCTGCGCAGATGCACTCGACCATCGAAACCCATTCCTGACGGCCAGGATGCGCTTGATGCTTCGTACGAAGTGTTGAATCAAGTATAATTCGAGTAGATTCCATTGTCCCAATCAAAAATCCGGATTCATCCATGTTATATGTGTTCTCTTGTGTGATTCCAAATGTAATGGTGGGTGCACCAGATATGAGAATCTAGCCACCCAAGGAAGGGATGAATTTACTAAGACAACACACTGTCTTAGGAAACAGAGCCAAAGGGTTGTAGCTTAGACTATTCCACAACGCAGCAATCAGGTGTATGATGTGGTGAAGTGGTTTAGACAAGTTGCAACAAATGTTGAGTCTGAGAACTCAGGGGTAAGTCAGAGGTTAGCACCTCACTGACTTTTCAAAAAACAGAGAATAACAAGATCAATGCTTGGAAGCTTGGAAAAGACGTAGAAGTATGTGCTAGTCGATTTACTGTATTGTCTGCTTGCCCTTTCTTAAGGAAAGGGCAATCCTATTTATGCCAAAGGAGTGTAGTTCTCTCATTTTCCATGACTTTCCATGACTAACCAGGCTTGGTAAATGTATTAGAAATCAAGTGCGACCCACAACTAGCTTGCTAATCATGTAGTGAACGTAAGAGAATCCCATAGAACCATCTCTTGGGTTCCTAGCCTATAGGAAGTGAAAAGGAGGTCCAAGGTCAGAGTACCTATAGACAAATTATGTCATAACTTAACCAATCTTGTGGGTAACTAAGGAGCGATGACGTGTAATGAATCATAGAGGGTTGTAGAAGCTTCTAGAGCTATCGTTCATGTTCCTAGGCCTCTAGTTGGTAGAGATATGCCATGTGGTAGTATTGGCCCACCCCCTTAAGGAGGAGATTTTCTTAATAACTTGTTCAATGAGTGTCCAAATGATATGCCGTGATGTATGTAGCATAAACAGATGTAGTAGAAGAGTTTGCAGCAATCGTTGAGTAGTATTGCTTCTGTTGTTGGTGTGATAAGCCAAGATATGTATGGTGACTTGTAGGTTTGAGGAGGAGATTTCTAAGTTTGCTCTTGAGTTTGATAGCAAACTGAGTGCAACGAATGTCAGTATGACATGATCCCCCTTTTAAGGACGTTTGTGGGCTGTCTGCTTGCCCTTTAGCCAGGTGGCTTTCTTAGAAAGAAATTCTAGAATGAGCTTAGATGCATTTTTTAGATTTCTCTTAGGCTCCCAAGTGTTGTCACTTGTAGGATAGCCTTTCCACTTAACGAGGAAGTAGTCCTGACCTCTAAGTGTCTTTTTGTCAAGGATAGACTCTACTTCATATTCTGGTTGATCCAAGATCAGAACAGGAGGTGGAGGAGACTGAAGTGGTCTTAAGGAACTTTCTTGTGCCTTAGACAAGAGAGATGCATGGAAGACATTATGGATAGTCCAAGTAGGTGGTAATGCAAGCTCGAAAGCATTCTTGCCAATAGTCCTTGTGATCTTAAAAGGTCCAAGTCTTTTAGTATCAAGTTTGTCTGAAGGTCTAGTAGTTGTGATATGTCTTCTAGACAAAAAGACTTGATCACCAACTTTGAATTGTGGTGCAACCACCCCCCTGTTAAAGGCCTGAGCCTGCTCGTCTTGTGCACGCTGTATTTGAACCTTGAGATAGTCCTGGAGGCCCTTAAGGTAGATGATTCTTTCAGTAGCAGAAGGGTTTTTGAAATTTTCAGGACAATTCAGTTCTGCCACTTCAAACCTAGGGTGATAACCATAGTTTGCATAGAAAGGTGTCTCTTTTGTGGTGTTAGAGACTGTGTTGTTGTAAGCAAATTCTGCAAGATGGAGAAGATCTGCCCAGTTGTCTTGAGCATAGTTTGTATAAATTCTTAGATATTGTTCAAGTACAGAGTTGACTCTCTCTGTCTGGCCATCTGTTTGAGGGTGATAAGCTGTAGAGAAGCGTTGTTCCATGTTTAAGAGTTTAGAGAACTCCTTAAAAAAGTTTGAAGTGAAAACTGCTCCCCTATCTGAGATCCAGTGTCCAGGAATTCCATGATATTTAAAGACCACCTTGAGGAATAGCCACGCAAGTTCAGAAGCTGTGATAGTCTCATTGCAAGGCTCAAAGTGTGCCATTTTTGTGAGCCTTTCTACCACCACAAGGATAGAGTCATAAGGGGTAGCACCCCCTTTTGGGATAGAAGGAGGCAACTTGACTATAAAGTCAATGGATATGGAGTCCCATGGGCGTTCTGGTATAGGTAGAGGCTGCAAGAGGCCATAGGGCTTTTGCCGTGTAGGCTTGTTCAAGTTGCAAGTAGTGCAAGAAGATATATAGTCTTGAAGAGTAGTCCTTAGACTAGGCCAGTAGAACTTTCTTGTTAGAAGTTCATAAGTTTTTGCAAAGCCAAAGTGCCCTGCAGCTGGAGCATCATGGAACTGCTGTAGGAGGTGTAGCTGTAATCGTTTATCCCTTGGGACATAGATATAGTTCTTGAATAAGAGAAGTCCATGCTGATTTTTTGAGAAATTCTGTAGTCCAACTTTCTCAAGAGAGGAACCTTTCTTCTGGAGGTATTCCAAAGTTCTTTTCGCAAAGGGATCATGGTTGTAAGCATCTTTGAATGCTTTAAGAAGTGTTGCTGAGGGTGTATAGTCTTTAAAGGTCTCTGGTTCCTGAGAAGAGGTAATGGGGGCAACTTGGTCTTGAGGGGATAAGTTTACCCCTAAGTCCTCTGTAGTACTAAGGTTGCTTAAAGATGCTGCTATAAGCTTTGCTGAGTCTAGCAGAGCCTTTGTATTGCTAGTTTTAGCAGAATCTTGGTAGTCATGTCTTCTTGAGAGGAGATCTGCTCTTTGATTCTTGGCCCCTGAGACATGTTTTATAACAAAGTCAAAACCTCCTAGTTGTTCAGACCACCTTGCTTGTCGTCGATTGAGCTGTTTAGTGGTTGTAAAGGTCAAGAGATTTGAATGGTCACTGTAAATAGTGATAGGATAGTTTGCCCCTTCAAGGTAGCATCTCCAATGCTTTAGAGAACATACTATGGCAAGCAGTTCCTTGTCTGTAATGGGATAGTTTTGTTCAGCTGCTGATAGCTTTCTTGAGTAAAATGCCACAGGCTGTAGCTCTTCTTGTTTGTCTTTTGGAGCTTGGTATAAGATTCCAGAAATGGCAAAATCTGAGGCATCTGTCTCAAGAGTGGCAGGTTTCAAGGGGTTAAAGTGTAGTAACATTTTCCCTTCTTTAAATTCTCCTTTAAGAGCATCGAAAGCATCTTGCTGTGTCTTATCCCAGTGATACAAAGTGTCCTTGTGAAGTAATTGAGTAAGGGGTAAAGCCAAGGATGTATATCTTGGTATAAACCTCCTGTAATAGTTGGCAAACCCA